GGGAAGACAGATGTCAAATGAGCACCATATCAACAGCTATTCATTAGTGAAATGAAGCTAAAACACCAGTGAGATAGACCACCACTACACTTGCTATGGTTTGGATGTGAGGTGTCCCCCAAAAGTTTACATGTGAGGTAATACAAGAAGGTTTGAAGGAGAAATGATTGGGTTATTGCTTTAACATAAACAGTGAATTGATCACTGATGTGATTAACTGAGTGGTAAATGGAGACAGATGGGGAGTAGCTGGAAGACATGGTTCATTGGGGGCGTGGCTTTAGGGTATATTTTGTATCTGTAGCACAAAGTCTCTCGACTTCCTTATTACCATTGAGCTATTTCCTTTTGCCACAATCTTCCACGATATTCCACCTCACCTCCAGCCCAAAGCAATGGAGCCTGCAATCTATGGATTAAGACCTCTGAAACCATAAGCTTCCAAATAAAATTTTCCTCTTCTACTATTGTTTTGGTCAGGTCCTTTAGTCACAGCAGTGAAGAGAGCTGACTTAAACAATACCCAATTAGGACACTTCAACAACAACAAAAGCATAACCATATGGTTAGTGTATCAGCAAGGATGCATATGTAGAGTCTCAGCTACCGGTAGGAATATAAATTTTCTAACATTCTGAATAGAAGTATGACACATTCTATCAAAAGCATTTCATAACACATATTTAACTTCAAGTTTTTAAAAATTCAAATACAATTGAACTACATCGGCATTAACTACTTTTAAAGAGGATACTGCATTTCTACAAACAAGAAGTTTAAATACAATCACATTAATATGGGTGAAGTTCATGCTAAAGGTGTGACCTTTTAGGCCTCCTTAGATGAGGCATAGATTTTTTCTTAAATTTCTACTCTTGTTAGGCATAAATTTTAGCTCATGTGACTACTTACTTATCTTGACTCATAAGACCTAGGCAAAGTTCACAATAAAGGGTAACATTAGCAAAACAAATGTTTGCATGTGCCCAATGACTTTGATCAAGAAAGATCTTTCATCTGAATTCTAAAATTTAAGATATCTATTTATTTCTAATAAAATCTGATTTCTTATTCCTAAATATGTCACATTAATTTATTTTGAATAAGCAACAAAATTTCAGACAAAATTATAATTCTAGTTCTACTGTCAATCCAAATCACATCACTTTAAATTTTGAAAGTCCTTTTCCTCCTTAAACATCACCTGAGTGACAGGTCCTATGATAGCCTTTTGATACAAAATGTGTAAGATGATGTTTCTAACCTTGAGCTGCTCAAAGTCAGCAGGTTTATGATGTTGTTTGCTCTTGGGATGATTTACTTAAGCAGAGCCTTTCGTTAAGAAACTTTATGTCTCCTAAAGCTTGATTATGGCAACTGAGCTGTCAAGCGCTTGTCACCAGTTATTACCAGAGAGCTTTAAAAGATACATAAGGATTCTTCTTCTCAGAGAAGCACGTGGCTCTTCAAGTCAACTTTCTGTTGCTCCTACATTTAGTCTTTTCATGTGATTCTCTGAAACAGTACAGGAAAACCCAACTAAAATTTTCCAAGATATTTTCCCTTCTCCTTTTTCTTCCCAATGTAAGATGGGTCCAGTTTTGCCAAACCCACCAATAACCTTCTAGCTGGCCAGTTAGTCTTTATACTTTTTTGATGGCTCTGACACATTTCCTAGCCTCACCTCCTCTTTCTCTCTTCTCAAAACTTTGACTTTCATGATGTAGCTCTATTCTTGTCCTCCTTCAAACCCCCCGCCAGTTGTCACTTTACAGGCTCCTCCATTGGATCCTCACTTCCTGCCCTCTCTGACATGCCAGACTTTCCCAGATTTACATTCTTGCACCTCTCTTTTCCTCATACACTCTTCCCCAACAATTTGATCCATATTCATGTTTGTAACTACAGTTTTTAAGTTAATGCTTTTTGAATCTAAATCCTATAGATACTATTTATGGAATGCCTACTATGTGCCCATTATGCTGGGGACTTTGCATAAATTATCTCATTTAATTTTCAACACTCTAGCTTATTTTACAATCCATATGTCCAGGAAATAAGCTTATGCCAATATATCTCGGTACACAGCAAAACCTTTTTCACTTAAACTAAGGTTTTAAGGAAATCTTAAACTTCACACTTCAAAATCCACTTTGACAATTATTAAAGATAGAATTTTTAGGCAAAGTGAAATCACTTAAGAGGACTCAAGTAACTCACCCTTATTATGAAATGCATGAAAACTCTTCTTTCTTAAAGATAATTTAAATACCCAAGTCTGTCTTCAATTCTTTTTTTATCTGATAGAAGGGGTAAAAATCTTGCAGTACGCAGAGCCACTAGACTAAAGGACTGTGGTAACCTTCAAAATGAGTCTAAAACATTCAGCTTTTTATAATTTATTTTCTCCGGAAAATTCCATGTTCACGGATCACTTTGTGAAAAAAATTATTGCTTAGACTAGCTTCTCGGAGTGAGTGACGTCAAAATTTTTAAAACATGTCAGCTGACATCTGTTTCATAAGAAACTGCCTGCTTCCCTGAAATCACTTGACTACACATATCCAGTGATTTTTCTCTTCATTCCCATTGCCACTACCAAGGTTCAGTTTCCCATCTTCTCTCACCTGATCAATGGCTATAAACTCTCTTACTGATTCCAATTTCACCCTGATGCCACCTTTCTTCCACATTTTGCCTGTGAATTTTTTTTTTTAAATACATGGTTGACCACTTAGAACAAAACAGAATTAGCCCTCCATGCCACATCTCTCTGCCACTGGTCTAGTTTTATAGCATAATTCTTCGGACCAATAGCTTCCCTTTCTTTGATGGATGTCTTAGAAATGCCTACACAATATAGTATTCATAATCTTATTTTTATTATATTTTCCAATTTGGCTTATTTGTACATTTTAAAAACCAATGGAGAAAATGATTTAAAAAGGAAATTAAAATACACACATCTGTAAATTGATCTGTCACCTAGAGTTGATCAGCAGTAGAGAATATCAGGAGGCTCACATTCCAATCTTGTGTCGCCTAAAATCACCTTCATTATTATTAAACTTAATAAATAAACTTAATCAGCTCACAGAGACAAAAACTCATATGTCAATTGTACGTTAATAGGGAGAAAAAATTTCCAGTTAACTTATTTTATGTATACAATGTGTACACAATAATTTTTTATTCCAAAAATTATTTGCTAAGGACGTGAAAAGGAAATTTAGCATAAAAATACATATGCCAATAAAGATTATTCATTAAAATTAATAGAGATAGGAAATAATTCCCAACTCAATAAATAAGTCAAAAAACATTGTTATCAATCCCCAAAAGGGATTGATTTTTAAGAATTTTTAACAAAATATAAGCAAAAATTCCTTTTATACTTAAAAGGGACAATACATCATGACCATGTGGAATTTATCCCAGGAACCCAAGTTTGGCTTATATTTAAAAATTAATTAACGTAGCTCACCCTACTTAACATAAAAACAAAAGTATCACATGATCCTCTCAATAAATCCAGAAAAAAGCAATTAATGGAATTGAATGCCTACATTTTTGTGATTTAAAAAAAAAACTGAACTACAGATAGAATTGCCTTAATCTAATAAAGCATAGCTACAAAAATGCCTATTGCTAACATTATAGTTAAGATGACATAATGAACAGAAACACCTTCCCCTAAAACCAGAAATAAATGAAAGATATCCACTATAGCATCATTACTACCACCACCTCTTCTCCTTTCTCTCTTCTCCTCCATTTATCATTGTGTGTATTTGTCTGTGTGTGTGTGTGTGTGTGTGTGTGAGAGAGAGAGAGAGAGAGAGAGAGAGAGAGAGAGAATGAAAGAGAGAGATAGAGAGACAGACAGAAATAGAGACAAAGAGAGTTAGTTACTGTCATTGAACTCAGCTCACACATGCTAGGAAAGTGCTCTATCATCGAGCTACATCTGTGGCTCTTTTCATTTTTTATTTTTTATTTTTTTATCTTGAGATGGGGTCTCACTAAATTGCTCAAGCTGACCTCTAACTTGAGCTCCTCCTGCCTCATCCTCCTGATTCACTGAGATTATAGTCCTTCACTACCATACTAACAATCATCACTGGTGTTCAATATTTTAACAACTGTATTAACCAATGCATTAAGGCAAAGCAAATAATGGGCATAATAGATTTGAAAGAATAAAAAATATATATTTGTTTGCAGACATTATGATTATTTTTATTCAAAGTCCTAAATAATCTGTAAAACAAAAGGCTACTAAATCTAGTAAGTTACTGTACCAAGGATTCAAATTACAAGATAAATCCAAAAACTCAACTATATTTCTATGTACAAGCAACAAATATTTTAAAATAGGTTTTAAAAATATATATTTGAAAATAAGTTTTTTTAAAAAAATGTATATTTTCAATAGCACACTATAAAATATCAAGAAATAAACATAATAAAAGTACAAAAGACAATCCACATTTAACATGACAAAACATTGCTGATAGGAACTGAACCAGAGTCAACAGATGGAGAGTTCTCATGCTAATGGATGAAAATATAATATTGTTAATAAATTAGCTCTTACAGACTGATCTATGATTTCATTGTGATACCAACTGAAATTCCATAACTCTTTCTTTTCTGGATTTAATGAATGCTAAGATGCTTATAGAAATATAAAAAAAACTGAAATAGCCAAAATAATTTTGTGAAAAAAAAGAACAAAATTGGATGATTTACATGATTAAAAACTAATTACAAAACCATAGTAATAAAGACAGTAATAAAGACTTTAGTACTACTAAAGTCAAACAAATTAATCAATCTGAATAGTTCAGAATTAAGTCACGAGATTTTTCAAAAACTGTCAGTAAAATTCATTTGGTATTGGAGAAGGTTTTCATCAAATTATTCTGTATTAACTAAATTACTAATGGGAAATAACAAAACTTGACAACCCTACAAGCCATATACAGAAGTTAAGTCAAGTGCTCACTTCAGTAGCACATACACTAAAATTGGAATGATACAAATATTAGCATGGCCCCTGCACAAGGATGACATGTAAATTTGTGAAACATTCCATATTTTAAAAAAGAAAAGAAAAACATTAAGTCAAAAAAATTTCTAATAAGCATAAAAACTACAATTATATAGCTTCTAAAAGAATACATCAAATAACTTACAGAAAATAGCTCTCTGGAGCTAGGTACAGTTTACATAGAAGGGAAAAGTCACTAACCATTAAACTGGTTTTTATGACAGTCAAAACTTCAGCTTATCAAAACACACCAGTGATAAAATGAACAATGCAGAAAATAATTGAACTTTGTGTAAGAAAAAGAAACAGAGAAGCAAAGGACTAATATTCAGAATACAAAAGAAACTTCTACCATCAACATTTCCAAAATATTCAAGTCAACACCTCACAAAATATGTAATAACTAAAGATTCACTAAATTTAGTCACTGAAGAAAAGTAAATTAAAATCACAATGAAATGTCAACACACACCCACTAGAATGGCAACTTTTGAAAATGTTAAAACCAAACATTAAAGAAGATATAGATCAAATGGACCTGTCATACATTACTAGTAGAAATGCAAATTAATACAAGTAATTTGGAAGACTATTCAATATTCTCTTATGAATTTAAATGTTGATGTTACTTTATGATTTAGCAATTTCAGATATGGGTGTCTACACAAAAGAAATGTATTTCCAGTAATATTTGTAAGAGTTTGTAAATGGCTTTTCTGTTAATAAGAGCAAAACTTAGTCTTTTGTTTTTTAAATTACTCAGTCTATAGCATTCTGTAATACAATATGGAATAAGACAAACAAGAATATTCTAACAGAATATTAACTGGTATTTTTATGTAATAAATTATTACTTAGCAATAAAAAGCTGACATATTCAAAATGAATAAATATCAAAGATTTTGATCAAAAGAAGGAAGACAAGTGCATACTCTATGACTGTATTTAAATGAAGATTATAAACTTACAAAATTAATATATGGCAATAGAAATCCAAGTATTAGTTATTTCTTGGGAGCAGGGCTTGACTGAAAAAGAATAAGAAAGCCACACAGAGTGGTGCACACCTGAAATTCTAGCTACTTGGGAGGCTGCTACAGGAAGATCAGTTCACACGTTTGAGGTCCTCAGCAACTTAGAGAGACACTGTCTCAAAATGAAAAATAAAGAGGAATGGGGATGTAGCTTGTGGTAAAGCATCCCTAGTTTTAATCCCTAGTACCCAAACTAAATAAATGTAAGAGTATGAGAGAATTTTGTAGGGTAAGGACTACATCCTATATACTGAAAGGAGTATGGATTTTATGCAGTGTACATGTACCCAACCTCATTGAAGTGGACACTGATAATTTGTATGTTTTACTAGAAATAATTATATCTCCACTTAGTAAAACTATATTGAGATATAGTCCCTCTACTATCAGTTTTACAAATATTCACATTTGACAACATATTATGATATGACTATAGGAAAAAAAGGCAAATTTACATGATTTGATGAGATGTAAAATGACATAACAGCTAGAGGACATGGCCAATTTGAACCATCTGGTAAAATTAAAATATATTTGCTATTTGATTCAGCAATTTTTTCTGAGATTCTATACCAAAGACACAAAGAAAAATATATGAAAATATTTGTATTCAAGATGATGTATTGCAGCATTATTTGTAGTAGCAAAAGAAAAAAAATACTAAAATATCCACCAACAGGGGACTGGTTGAATAAATCAGGCTAGGCAAGCAGTAGACCTCTCTGTAGTTGTAAAACATGAAAGAAATCTATATATGTTGTTATGGAAATACTGTCAAATGCACAAAAGTAATTTAGAAAAAAAGCTCATATGGAATTTCATCATTCATCTATTAAGAGGAAAGAATGGATGGCTATAGGTAGATAAATGAATATAAACAGAAGAGGTAGTTTACATGAAAGAACAATAAAATGTTATGGTTTAGATGAGGTGTCACCCATCAAAAGCTCATGTGTGAGACAATGCAAGAAAGTTTGCTGATTACATGATTAGTCTTGACCTAATCAGTGCATTAATTCCCTGAAAGGGATTAACTGGGTGGTTAACTGTCAACAGGTAGGGTGTGGCTAGAAGAAGTGGGTCACTGGGAACATGCCTTTGGTGTATATAGTTTGTCTTTGTTGAGCACAGATCCCTCTCCATTTCCTATTGCCCACGTCCTGAGCTGCTTTCCTCTGCCACACCCTTCCACCATGATGTTCTGCCTGACCTTAGGCCCAGAGCAATGGAGTTGGCGGTCTGTGGACTGAAACCTCTGATACCATGAGCCCCAGATAAACTTCCTTCTCTAAAATTGTTCTTGTCAGATCCTTTGGTCACCACAACAAAAAAGCTGACCAAGACAATACTGGACAATTTTTTAAATGGTTATCAATAAAGGAAGTAAGGGAATAGAGTTGAAGGAAAGGGTACAAAGTAACATTTTTCTGACTATATCTAGGTCTATAGAATTTTATTTTGAAACAGATTAAAGAATCTATATAATCATAAAAGAAAATTAAACCGATTTTTTAAAAATTCCTAAAGAACAATAGTAAAATAAATGAGTCTATCTGCAGCCAGTTGGGGATGTAATCACATAGTGATAATATCAAATGGCATTAAAACAGTAATTTAACTAAATGCCCTTAGAGAGATAAAGCCTTAGGACAAAAAGCACTGCAAATATACATGCATAAACAGCATCCAAAAAAATCGTACTGTTATTACTATGGAATAGTTATTTAGTGTATTGTAGAATAAAGTAAATGGGTGATTGTACTTTTTAGCAAGAGAGAAAAGAAACACAGTAAGATTAATGAGTTTAAGTTAAAACCCTACAATACTATATTTGAATCTACAAAATCAGAAGAACTCATAATAAACTACCTCTCAAAAATAAACTTGGGCATTTCGTGATTTTGTTTATTGAAAAGATCCAGAAATAAGAATCTACCCAGTAACAGTGAATATCCTTAGTAACTGTATTCCAGTGTCTAAATAACGAGTCCACTAAAGAGGCCTGGCTCCTAGCAAACGGAGCTGGCTGATCCCAGGTCTGCAGCATGAAATGTGAAAAATGATCCTGTGAAATCCTGTTATAACACAGCACAAAGAAGCTGTCTTGGATCTAGTTTAAAAAAAAAAAAAAGAACTCAGTCAAGTTGATGACTACTACTACTGGCCAAGAAGAGGCTATTATTATGCTTCTTTCTATCCATAAGTTATAAAAAATAATAAATACTCCTTGGTCACTATTGGATAGTGCTAGTGAACTTAAAAAGTTAAAAAATAAGTGCTGATAAGTAATTTTAAATGGAATATAAGTGAAAAGAATCAAAACTTTACCTTTCTTTGCTATATAAATGAATCCTAAAGTTTACCAACTTATTCATGAAGGAACATTTCTTTTTATAGAAATATTCCAGCTAATAACTGGAGAATCATAGAAATATAAAATTATCATTTTGCAACCCCTAAGTAACTAATGTGGACAAGAATTGTCATTAGCTGCAACATCACTAAAAATCATTAAAAAAATTAAAAGAGCAATATATATTATGTACCTTCTACTAGAAGCACAAGTCACCAGTGAAGTGTTCTTTTTTAAAAAAAAAAAAAAAGTTCTTGAATCATGATTAGATTCAACTTCTAACAAATAATAGGCAATTGTGGAAATGGAGGAACATATTGGACACTGAAGAGGCAAAATCATAAAATACAAACCATGGTAACTCTAAGTCAAATGATGAAATTACTTACAGAAATAATGAATATGAAGAGGTACTCTATATAAATAGTAGCCAAATTAAACAATTGCAATATATATAGACCTTATTTGGATCCTGGTTTAAACAATACATTTGAAAAATACAATTATAAGAAAAATCAGAGAAATAATCATTTGCATTTGATGAGACTAAAGAATTATGATATTGGAGTTATGTTCAAATACCATCATTTTAGAAATATAAACTAAAATTCTTAGGTATGAGCTTATATTTCCTTCAAATTGAGTTGAGCAGGATGTTGTAAATAGAGAACGCTCAGTATTTGTCCTTTAAAAAGTCAACCCAAAAGGACAGAAATTTTCAGGGAAGAGGTAGGCATTCCAAAAATTGGTGACCATACATACAAAGGCTGCAGATCTAACACACTATGATGTAGAAAGGACTAAGACACATCTAACCATGGCTAGATGAAGGAGACACAGAAGGAGGAACAGAAGATGACTTCAATATGCCCAAGAGTGGCTTTTATTCTGTGAGAAAGCACTACTACCCAAAGGGGAAAAAAAAAATACAGGCCATATGTATAACCTACAATTTTCTGCTAGTCACATTAAATAGTGAAATTAATACATTGTGTTTAATTCAATAAATCTAAAATATTATAAAACAAGTTATCAGTATAAAATTGGTAATGATATTTTGTTGTTTTCTGTACTAAATTTTCACTATTCAATGCATATTTTATATTTAGAGCACATTTCAAGTCATACTCCTTCAATTGCTCAATGGCCACATAAAGTCTTTGACTATCATTGCATAGTACAGCTACTATAGAACCTTATGATTTGAAAATTTTGAGAAACTACCTGCTTTTCATTCTCCAAGTCACCAAATCAGTTCCTCATGAGTTCAACTTCCATTCTTCAATGTAGATATTTTGTAAATTTAGACCATATGTCCAACTGTCTACTGTGTCTAATATTTAATATTTACCCCAAATTAAGTGTTCCAGACTAAGTTCATTATCTGTCTCCTTCACCTCCTTATCTCCCTAGAGTTTGTCTCACTCCATCTCCCTCTATTCGGTCCCTCCTCATTTAATCAGTTGAAAGATTCTGTTAGTTATTTCCAAATGTCTCATTCTTCAACTTATTTAGTCAAAATGTTCCTCAAATCATGATCAACACTACTATGAATGCTTCCTTATTTTATCCTTTCTGCCACCATTTGGTCCCCACCCAATATGTCTTCCTTTATCTCATAGGAACGTCTTCATGGATTTTTTGGGGGGTGGGGGTCAGTACCT